TTCATTTACCTGAACACTTAATTAAAAGCTTTCATAGAGTCCCAATAGATTGTTTTCACTCCTCCTGCCCCATTCGTTCGTTACCTCCTTGATCCACCGCCCAGGTGTCTGTCTCCACAGTAGTGCTGGGAACCCTCCCAAGAAACATGAGACTCTGAGAAATCACCCAGTATTCCAAACCCTAGGGATGGCTCTACTCCTGGTAACTTAAAAACAGAATTGGAGTTGACAGCATTAATCAAAAGTCTTGGCGTACTGTTATTAACCAAATGTTAAAATTAATGGGCAAAAGCTTCTTGTATTTTAATGACAGAAGTAACACTCCCAAAGGAATATACAGCTTCAACTCAGTAGTGGGATTTAATTGCCTTTTAGGGACCTGGTCTCTGAAGCCTCCTCAGTGAAATCACTTCTTTGGAACCAAAATGAATAAACTCAGAAGGTAGCAGAGAATGTTTAAGATTCTCTTTCTTCTGTTGTTCATATTCTGGACCACTTGGAGTCCTGATTTCTAAAATGCTGAGCAAAATCAAGACACAACCCATTGTAAGAGCAAGTGAAGAGCCATATATCCTGACAAGAAGGAAAGAAGACATTTTTGTGTCTTGGAACAAATCAACATGTGTATTTGTAATGGTCATTCTTGACATGGCTCTCCCAGATGCACCTGCAACTCGCTCTCCCTGAAAAACTCCAAAACCTCAGTGAGCCAATGTTCCTGCAATAGCTAAGGGGCTATATCAACCCAACTTCTAGGCGCTTAGCAATGTTTTGGTTATTCAGGTGAGTAAACTCAATTCAATTAAAAAAAATTAGTGAGTTCTTACCATGTGTCAGGAACTGAGCCAAGTACTGGAGTTACAGTAATAAATAAAATGCAAATTCTGCTTTCAGAGGGCTCACACTATAATCTGACCATAAAAAATCAAGCCTGTTGCTGTTGAGTCGAATCCGACTCATAGTGACCCTACAGGACAGGGTAGAACCGCCCCACAGGATTTCCAAGGAGTGGCTGGTGGATTCAAACCATCAACCTTTTGGTTAGCAGCTGAGCTCTTAACCACTGCACCACCAGGGCTCCAAAATCTGACCTTATGACCTTATTTATCTTCATTTATGGAATTTTTCTTTTCTACTCTCAGGAAAAAAAAGACAACCAACATGGCCAATTTGTCACGGGTGCTACTTTCTGAGTGAGGCTTCATTTAAAAATAATAATAGCTAAAACTTAAATATCACAAGAACCCTTGAGGTAGGTACTACTATTATTCCAAATTTACAGTTGAGGAAACTAAGGTGTCAACAAGTTAAGTAAATTACTAAGGTCACCTAGTGAATCAGTGGTGAATCCAGGATTCAAACTCGGCTTCAGAGTCTATGCCCTTAACTACTACTCTGCACTGCCTGATATGGATAACAGAAATTGCCCTCTGGAAGCACTATTCATTTCATAAAGTATATTTGGAGCACCTGGGATCTTTCTGAATAGCTTAGGGAAACAGGGAAAATAAACATCCCCTAATTTTAGTATCAAAGGTGAAATGGGTCTTCCTGGGAAGTATGCCCTGTATGGGAGGTGGGATGAGGAAGGCCTTGTTTGGGGAAACTGTGTGAAGAAAAGAGTTGAAATTTTTCCAGAATATTGCTAGAAAGATCCAAATGCTTTGAATATATGTGTGAGTATCTCCACATATGTCTAGTCACTTGAGAAAGACGCTGGCCTGCACAGTGCTAAAACAGTGAATTACAGTCATGCACCACATAACGTCTGTTTGAGTAACGTTAGACAACATATATGTCTGTGGTCTCATGGTCCCATAAGGTAATAGAGTTCAGGAATTCTGATCAGAGAACAGGACGTAGTGGATGTAACCAGTCGTAGCAAACGCAACAGCTTCCTGAACACAACACCTGTATCTCATGTCTCTTGTATACAAAACAATTGTGCTGCCAGGCATATAATGGTATAATACATATACAATCTATAATACATATGTCTTGATAGTCGTAATAAAAGTCTATGTTACTGGCTTATGTATGTACTGTACTGTACTTTCTATCGACCCTGGGTTACCAACGCCCAACTTACCTACAACCATTAGTTACGAACCAACCCCTGTAAAGCCTATTATATTAAAAATTCTAGGTACATACAATGGTTCGTAATAACAAATGAGCATTACTTTGTGATGCCCATCAAAACATTATTATTATTACTGTGTTATTATGTTAAAAATGTTTTAGTGTATCTGGAAGTGTTTCTTTAATGTTTTTTTGTATAGAAGCGTACACTATATACTATATACTAAGACAAACATTCGACTAACTGACGTTAGATATGAATCATTCCTAACTGTTCTGACTTACATGCAAATTCAACTTAAAGACAGACTTAGGAACAGAGCTTGTTCATAATTCGGGGACTGCCTCTGTATAATATGGTGTTCACATCACATCCAATCACATAACGTCCTATTTCACAGAATGTATCATGAACGTTAAGCGACTCATGACTGTATTCAGTAAAAAATATATGTTTAGTTTGGTGAGACTCATTCCAACCATGTAGACACAAAAGTGTGTTCTTTGTTTTCCAGCTACTTATACTGGCATTGCTTTGGGGATCTTTAAGGCTATAAGGTGGTGTGGACTATAAGTCAAACTAAAGCTTTATGATTAAATCTGTTGTCATTGTAGTGTGAAACTTTAGTACCCCTTGAAAAAGTATGGGCCCTGAGAATTTCACCCTTGAAAGACCACTAGGAAACTAGGGCTGGGCTGTCACCAATACCCCAAGGCCAGATCATCTGACTTCTGCCTCAGTCTCATAACTCTACTCCAAAGACTCCTTTGCCTTTCAGATTGATCCTGTTCTCTGATTTTAAACCGGGGAGTAGTTACAGAATGAAAAGGAGCCTTCTAATTTTCTTTACAGGTAATCAAGGGTCTCCTCGAAGGATCACCCTCCACAATAAATGGGAACAATCTTAGTTAGAAATTTAGCAGCACCTAAGTAGTTTTTTCAATTTGTTTGCCCATGATTATGATTTCTATTCAGGGTCCACTTATCCTGTGTCAGAATTTTTTGAGGGTTCTGTTATAATCTCTTACCCTGCTTCCTGAATTACCTGCTCATAAAGGTCTTCTGCCTTTGGAGACATGGAGTCTGTCCTAGGTAGATAATCCAGAGAGATTGCCTATACCATTAATGTGGATAGTCCTTCCTGCTGCCTGGCTTCTAAGACAAACCTCCCCATCCATAGCCTGCTCTTGCCAAGGCATGACATCTACCTCATGAGTCTGCAGCTATATACCACAAACACTCAAAAATCCTGGCTTGCGACTGGAAATTAATAGGGATCTTACAGACCATCTGGGGAAAGATCTTGACCTAAACTATATGCTAGTCTGTGATTGCATTCATACTTGATAGAACTAGACCAAAAAAAAAAGTAAATAAAATTTTGAATGGATCAAGAATGTGAACACATTTTTTTTCAGTTTCTAGAATAATCCTCATTTCCTCTCTTCACTACAGCACCTTCCCTCCATGCAAAGGACAAACTGTAAGTCTAGGGGAAAAAAAAGGCAAGACATTAGAGTTCATTCCCGAGTTGCAGGGAATTAATAAGACTGAATACCATGAGATGCTGGTTCTTATCATAGGCTTTTTACTTTCAAACATTTATTTCCTTCAGCCACTTCAGTGTACTTTCAGTCAAATTAATTTCTTGTAATTGGGTAAGACAGAATAGCCACATAACCAGCCTCAATTCATTTAACAAACATATAATGAACCCATATTTTATGACACACACCTTGCTAGGTGGTGAAGATAAGGCAAGTGCCTCTTCCCTCCCAAAACTTATAATTTAGTAGGGAAACAGATATTAAATAATCACATAAATATATACATACAAATACAAACTGTGATAAAAGCTATGCAGGAAAAACTCAGGGTGCTATGAATGGTTGTAACAAAGACCTGATTTAGACTGGGGGGTCAGGGAAGGCTTCTCGAAGGAAGTTCCTTGTAAGCTGAAACATTAAGGATGACTAAGAGTGTTCACCAAGCAAAGACGAGTACGGAGAATATTTCCTCAGAGAGAACTCAATGTGCAAAAGCCTTAAGGTGAGAACAAGCTTGAAGTGCTTCGTAAGGACAGTAAGGCTAGAACATGGTGAGCACAAGAGGAGAGAGTACAAGAAAAAGTTGGGGTCAGATCATTCAGAATCTAGTAGGTCTTGGTAAATAAGTTAGATTTCATTCCCAGTGCAATCGGAATCCCTCAAATGCTTTTAAGCATGGGAAGGATATGGTTATATTTACGTATGTTTTTGGAAAAGATTACCCCAGTTGCTGTGTGAGAATAAGCTATAGGGAAGCAAGAATGGAGGTAGGGAGACCTATTAAGCAGTTCATGTATTAGTCCAGATGAGAGATGACGGTGGCTCTGATTAGAGAAGTATTGGCTGTGGATATGGAGAGAAGTGGAGAGATTTGAAATACATTTAGTAGGTACAGCCAGTAGGATTTGGTAACTGATTGGATAGAGGGTAAGGAATAAGCGCAAGTGAACTGGGCACATATTTTATGTCATTGATATGAACCAGCTAAAGACCAATTTCTGGCCAATATCCATAGTGGGAAGAACAATCAGCAATTTTATGAATCAGGGATCTGATTACATTTGAGCTGCATGTTTTCCTTTAGGGGAGTATTCGAGGTACGCTTCAGGCACAGTCCAACTCCCCTCATTTTATACACTAAGAAATTAAATCTCTAAGTTTGTGTTGCTTTGCAAATTAATCTTGTGTTGTGTATGAATGTTTTTATCTTCTGAAATAGAGTGTAAACTTTCAAAAGGTATCACTTGTTTTGTAGACATCTCCTCCTAATAACACCTGGTATAGGCCTGAGTACATAGCACACACTCAATAAATGCTTCGCAAATTAAAATGAATTGAATTTCTTCTTTTTTATCAGCAGATAGTACAAAATGGATATTCTGGTTACTGATAATGACAGTGAAGTGACAGAGTTCATCCTGGTGGGTTTATCCAATCATCCAAAATCCCAGATTGCCTTATACTGCACCCTGGTAATGGTCTACCTGATCTCAATGTTGGGAAACAGTCTCATTATTGTTGTGGTTAGATTTGATGGGAGACTTCACACCCCTATGTATTTTTTCCTAAGTAACCTATCCTTCCTCGATATCTGCTACTCCAGCAATTCAATACCTTTTTTGTTGTTCAATGGCCTGAGAGACTACCCCACCATCTCCTATACCAGCTGTTATGCCCAGATGGCCATTGCTCTCTTTCTGGGGATGACTGAGTGTGTCCTCCTTGCTCTCATGGCTTATGACAGGTTTGTTGCAATCCCCAACCCCCTGTGCTACACCATCATTATGAACAACCAGGTCTGCATACAGTTGGCCATGGTGACCTGGGCCAGTGTCTTCCTTTTGACAATAATACCAGTCATTGCATTTCCCGCTCATTTTTGTGGACATGATATCATCGACCATTTTATCTGTGAGTTTCAGGCCCTGTTGAAACTTGTCTGCTCAGACACCCCAGTCAGACTTATTCTGGGTCTGGTCATCAGCATATTCACACTGCCCGTGCCCTTCACCTTCATCCTCATCTTCTACACTCGCATTGTGGTTGCTGTGCTGAGAATACGCTCTGCAGAGGCCAGGCTCAAAGCTTTTTCTACGTGCGGATCCCATCTGACTGTAGTCACCATATTTTATGGGACGGCCATCTACATGTACTTGAAACCTCAGTCAAAGGAGTCCCCGGAAGAGGACAAAGTCTTCTCAATATTTTATGGTGTTGTGACCCCTATGTTGAATCCCCTTATATACACCTTGAGGAACAAGGATGTAAAAAATGCCATAAGAAAAATAATTGGAAAGAAAGAGTACTAAAAATGACCCGAATATCCCATGGAAACTCATCGAATCAATGTTGACTTGTAATAATAATAAGGTAGAAATATCAAATAATGTTTTAGTAACTAGCTTCAAATGCATTTCTTCTATTTTCAACAAGCATGGGTAAAAAGAACATCCTTCCACTGAGAAAATCCTGTTAAATTTTTACAATGCCATCCATTTTAGCTGTAAATTATACAGGACAATCTTGAGGAAGAGTTTTTAAAACAAAATAATAATTAGTACATTTTCATCCTTGAGTAGTTTGATTTTATTTTACTAAATAAGAAGCATTCCAATATTGTAAAATTCTCTGTTATAGATGATAAAACAAAGTTCCAAAAAGGACAATGCTTTCTGCATGAGTTGTGTCATGACCCAGGCTTAGAAGTGATGGATGTGAATGGATAAAGGGAGGGAAATTACTCAGCTGGTATATAAGACTTCCCTCACAAAGTACAATAAAATATTAAAAAAAAAAAAAAAGACTTCCCTCACAGAAAGCCCTCTGCTGAAGGAAGGAGCCCTTCAAGACTCTGGATCCTGGGGGTCAGAACTGCTGACCCTATGGAATCTGCAATTGTATCTTTTGATCAGTGGATAGGGCCACATTTTCTTTGTCAATGTAGACTCCAAAAAAAAAAAAAAGAAAGAAAGAAAAACCTGGAGCCATCAGGTCGATTCCGACTCATAGCGACTTGATAGGACAGGGTAGAGCTGCCCCATAGGGTTTCCAAGGCTGTAATCTTTACAGAAGCGGACTGCCACAGCTTTCTCCCACAGAGTGGCTGGTGGGTTCAAACCGCTGACCTTTCACTTTAGCAGCCTGGCGCTTAACCACTGTGCCACCAGGGCTCCTTCGATGTAGACTACTCCTGGATAATTGCCTGCAACTTCCATAGATAGTGGCCTCACAAACATAGACCAGGTTTAACTCTAGGAGGAACTCCATAAAAAATAAACAAACATGACTGCTTTTTTTACTATAAAAATTTTAACGTTTGCTATTTTAAAATATATGGGGGGTAGAGAAGAAATGAAAAACCACCTATAATCACAACACTCTCTGAGACTGACATAGGTTTTGGAGTCAGGCAGACATGAATTTAAGTCTGCCATTCACAATTGTATGGGATTTAGCTTATTACTTGTCATATTTAAGCTTCATTTTTCTCATCTGCAAAATGGGGATAACCTGAGTGCCCATCTCACAAAGTTAGTCTGAGAATTAAATGAGGTGATATCTGCTGAGCTTCTATCACAATGTCTGGCACATGGTGGATGCTGACTACATATAAGGCAAAAAATAAAACCAATTGTCCATTTGCCCTTTAAAATCCATACCCATCAGCATCTTATGAGTACTCATTTACTTATTTCTCTACCAAAAATGACTGTATCATCTAAAAATATTCCGTGACAACATGACAGGCTGAAAAATTATTTTCTTTTTGTTATCTTAATTTGAATTTCTCTGATTTCAGATGAGGTTGGATATGCTTCTCATGTTCGTTGATAATTTGTATTTCAAATATCAGGGTCTTTGAAGATGGGTCAAAAGGACAACGAACCAGTCCAATTTTGGTGAAAGAAAATGCTGTTCCCGGTGAATATGTGTCTCATAAAAAGTCCCGGAAGTTATTTCTGCTTTGATTGACTCCTCCAATGTTTCCAGATACAACCTAGTTTGATCCATTCTTTTGTACTTTGGTAAGCACTGCTGGGATTAATATCTTATTGGACATCAACTGAAGCTAAATGGAGACTATTGTGAATGCAAATAGAAATGAGGAAGAACTCCTTAGAAAGGGAATCTATGGTGTTATGCAAATTTTATTGTAAAGAAACCGATTAAATCTTGAACAAATTCTTGTGTAAGGTTTATTAGGGACTAAGAGGAGGTAGAGAAGAACAAGCAAAAAGGTGTGCCTTGTGCCAACAGAGAGAAATTTATTGGGGAGAGGCAGGGACCTTTTTTAGCAATGAGAGAAAATTAAATAGGTAAACTAATGTCTTCCCTTTTGGTTACCTCAGGAAGAATTTAGACAGGGTTCTCTCTCTAGATGGAGAAATCCGTTACATCTGGAAGGGTAGAACAAGCTGCGGGAAGGTTTCTGACATGAAGTCAAGGCTCTGGATGAATAGAAAGTGTAAGAGATTCTTTTATGAGAACAACTAATCAGTTACAGATGCATGTGTAAGGTGTCTTTAAGTTAAATGTTTATTGTGAAGGTTGCCTTCTTCAAATATACCTTGTATTACTAAATAAACGTGTTCAGGTTGTAACAAACAGATAATACTTTGGAACTAAGCTATGCCTCAGGAAACTTGCTTAAATTTCTTATCTCTGCCAAACAGCACTTATGACTTACAGCTGATAATGGGCAACTCTGCCTCTCTGCACACCATATTCTCATAAGGTATGCCAAAATCACAAGGTCACATCTTAGAAGGTTGAACTGACCCCTTGAAAATCAGCACCACTGAGAACAGAGCTTCGCGCTGTGTACTGGCAGCAGTAAAGTCAAGAAAATGCACTTGTGAGCGATAACCACAACTTTTCCTGGAAGTGTTCCACAAAAAGAAATTAAATATTTTAAAAAGGCTTAAAAAAAATCATTGTTTTTAGGTTTGTCAACAACACTTGTACTAAATAATAAGAAATAAAAATCAATTACCACAGAATGTTCTTTAGGCTTTTGCAAAGTCATGGAGGCAGAATTATTAAATCTACCATTTTCATCGTATGTAAAGAAACACACAAAAAAAGTGTTCATTTGTTCCTGCAATTTCTTTGTTTTTGTTCCAATTAAAATAGCCGCCAGATAAAGTTTTATGCTAACACATTTGAGTCAATCACCCTGTGTGCACATATCTGCATGTACACATATATATAACACAGACAAGCACGCATAGGCTTTATTGTCAGAAAGACATGGATTAAAGCCAGACTCAACCATTTTTTAGCTGTGTAATCTTGGGCAAGTTATTTTAACCTCTCTGACACCCCCATCCTCATCTGTAGGGTGGAGATCATAATAGTCCCTACATCATAAGGTTGCTCTGAAGATTCTATATGACAAACCATGTAGAACATTTAGCACGTTATTTGGCAAAGAGCGAGCACCTTAAAATGTTACCTATTATAACTATTCTTATCATCATCATCAACATTATATAACTCTGGTACCAGAGATGCCTGCACACTGAAGGGCCTAGTTTATCTTGTGTGCAGAAAAGTTATCACACTTTCTTAACCGCAGCCCATACCTGGAATAATCGAGAGCATATGCAGGCATTTGTGTGTAACTAGATGTAAGTGTTGGAGGATATTTCACACTTTGCCTCTGTTCCTTCCTTAATTCATTTAATCAATCAATATTTATTGACTATCTTCTATGTGTTAGATAATTTGCTAGTGTTGGGGATCTACAGTGAACAAGACGAAGTGCCTCATCTCAGGGCCTAAACAGTTTAATGGAAATACAGATATTAAACAAGTACACGCATATATAAATAAATAACTTAAAGAGCATGATAAGTACTCTGAAGGAAACAAACAAGGAGCTGGAACAAAGAGTAATGGGTGTGACCTATGTTGGATATGATTGATTATAAGATCTCTGAAAAGAAGTGATATTTAAGCTGAGATTGAAGGATTCATATTAAATGTTTATTGTGAAAGTTGAAGAGCGAGGAGTTGAGTTCTAGAATAAGGAAACAAAATTACAGAGTCCCTGAAGAAAGAAAGAACTAGGCATATTTAAGGAACAGAAGGCAGACAAGTATGGCTAGAGCTAAGTGAGCAAGGCAGTGGGTAGGTGATATAGCATCCATTCATTCACTCATTCGACAAAAACAACGAAATACCAGCACACGCACCACGAAAACATACATATATACATACATACATATAAAGAGAGAGAGGGAGAAACTATTACGTGCACCAAGCAGTGTTCTAGGTTTTTGGGATACATCAATGAATAAAAGAGTACCTACACTTATGACGTTTGTAGTATAGTGAGGGAAATAGATCATTAAAATAAATCGTATAGTGTTTTATAAAAATAAAATCATTGTAACAGTGATAAGGAGAGACAGGAGAGGGCATCAATTTTAAATAGAATGACTAGGGAAGGCCTAACTGAGAATTTGAAATTTGAACCAAGAGCAAAAGAACTACTTGAATATGTAGGAAAATAAAATTCCAGGAAAAATTCCTAAGGCAGAAGCAAACTAACATATTTGAGGAACACCAAGGAGGCCAGTGTGGCTGGAGAGGTGCGAAAAAAGGAGAGGATAGCAGCAGATGAGCTCAGAGAGGTAACAAGGAATCAGGTTGTGTAGACACTTCTAGATCATTGCAAAGCATTTAAATTTTAAAAAAAATTATTGATATGTAATTCACGTACCATTGCATTTACTATTTTGAAGTGGACAATTCGATGGATTTCAGTATATTCACAAAGATGTACAACCATCACAACTATCCAATCTAAGAATATTTTTATCACCCCAGTATGAACCCCATACCCATTAACAGTCACTCCGCAGCCCCATCTCCCCTCAGCCTCTGGCAATCACTGATCTACTTTCTGTCTCTATGGATTTTCCTATTCTGGACATTTCATATAAATGGAATCATATGATATGTGGTACATTGTGATTGCCTTCTTTCACTTAGAATAATGTTTTCAAGGTTCATCCACATAGTAGCATGTGTCAGTATTTCATTTCTTTTTATGACTATATAATATTCCATTATATGGATGTACCAAATATGGTTTATTTAGAACCATAAGTTGTTGGTTCCTATTTTTCAAAAATAACAAGCCTCAGGATGTGATACACATGTGTCTGCAAAACTAGAGAAATAGAATTCATGCCACAGCAATGTATGAGAGTTCCAATTTCTCAAAATCCCAGCCAGCACTTATTATTGTACATCTTTTTTTATTATAACCATCCTAGTAGGTTAAAGGAGTCCCTCGATG